CCCCAGACTGAACCCTAGCTCCCAAGCCAGCCAGCCACAACACTCTGAATTCCTCAGGGAGGTGCCAGCCTCATCCTCTTGTTCCTCCCACGCTCTTCTGGGGAGCTAAGAAAATGTTTATCTCCCTGAGCCTGTCCTTCATAAATCCATTCCATCACACACCACTTCTGTGCCTCGGGGAAGCTGATTCTACAATGGGGCTGCCGTACATTTCAGAGGAGCCCGTGTTGAAGGCCGCTGATGGAGCTGAAATGCCAGCTGGTTATCCCAGGTTAGGGCCATGCCTGATTCATTTCAGACAGGCTGCTTTGCACGCCAAGAGTTCCTTTGGTGTTTGCAGGGGGCCAATTGCAGATGAAGCTGTTGCCCTCTTGGGGATAAGCATTTGACAAGCTGGGGTACCAGCACTGTGCTTCAAATGGATGCATGTCACCAGAGGACTCCTGGGGGAGAGGATTTGCCCTTTCGTGCTCCTCCAGTTGGGCCTTGAATTCTCCTCCAAAGCATGGTCTTGTTTTCTGCTCCGCTGGCAGAGCGGTGTGAACTGCCTTGGCAAGAGGCTCCAGGGAGGTGATGGAAATGATGGAGGGGAAGACTGAGTTGCAGGTGGTTTTATGTGTAAGCCATGGGCATCCTTGGGGGGCAAGTGACATCATATATATCATAGCATCATCACCTACATCAGTGTTTTTCAAGCTTGGCCACTTTAAGATGTGTGGACTTCAATTCCCAGAAGGCTGGCTGGGGAATTCTGGGAGTTGAAGTCCACACATCTTAAAGTGGCCAAGCTTGAAAAACACTGACCTATATTATATATTTTGCATCATTGGCTCAGTGACGTCAGGCTGCACGTGGTTTCTCACAGATGCCTATGATGGAAGCTTCTTTCAAGCCCTGCATCTGCCTGCACCCCTTAGCAGATCAGGGCACCGACTTTCCTGGTATGCAAAGCCGAAGTTTCCCCGGAACCAAGGAGGGAGTGGGACGTAGCGTTAACCATAATGCCAGGGGTCGGCAACTGCTACAAAAATATATACATATAAATTGCTGTTCTTTCTATGTGCTGCTTTCTACCCTGATTTTGTAAATTTTGCTCTCTTTTTTCCTTGATCTCTGGGTTCTCTTCCCCCTCTCCCAAAAAATAATGATTGCAGAACAGAAGTAACTCTAAAATCAATTCCTGGTGATGCTCCAGATTTATGTGCAGAAGCTGTTCCCTTTCCCTTCAGTTTGTCTTGCTCTTTTGCTAGATCTTCCTCTTCCAAGAATCCCCCTTGATCTTCCTCCTTCCCTCTGCCCACACTGTCATTCACCTCCTCTCCTTAATCCACAAATCAGCCTGTTCAGCTGCTCAGTTCACAGAGTAAAGTATGTATTGTTTTCAGGTTCCAAATGCCCCCAAGCCAGCTTCAGGCAGCCATTCCCAGCCATCGACCGCCCCCAGGCCCAGCCCGGGCAGTACCAATGTGAGTAGAACCACCAGACTGGCCCAAGTGGCTTTTGATGTGATGGCGTTTCTACCTTCTTCCAGTTTCGTGCGACCTTCTGGGACCTTGGCCCCAGCAACTCACTCTTGGGGGGACACTGGTCTCCCAGCTTCTTCAGCCTTTGAGTTTTCCTTGCCACCAGCAAGTCTCCCCCAGGGCCTTTGGAGAGGTTGACTGTTGGAGAGCTGTTATCTGCTGGGGGACGGGCTGGGGGGGAAGAGAGCATCCCGCTTTCCAAATCACACACCCACATGCACCCACCCAAAGGGGTAGGACAGGGAGTTTTCTCTGCTTGTGAATGGGCCACCTTCGAGACCGGCGAGTGCTGAAAGCAGGAGAAATCAGACGTCCCAGCTCAGCCACGCACCAGACTTTCCTCTGCTTTTGCAGAGGGTGTCTCCAGCTCCTCCCATGTTCATAAAGTCTGGGGACCAGGAGAGGTTGTTGACTTGAAAAGCAGGATAGGAGTCTGCAACCGCCTTGCCCAGCCAAGAGCAGGGCTACGTTGTGTTGCAGAAGGAAATAAACATTATTGGGTGTTGTGGCAGCAGCAACAAAGACGCCAATTGTATTTCCAGCTTTTGTTCTGTTTTCATTTCTCTGGTCCTGCCTTGAGATGGCCCGGTCGTAAATAAACATTTGAACTGCAGCTGGGATAAGTGCCGAACTAAGTGTCTCCTGTTTATGGTTCTTGTGCTCACTGAGTGAGCTTTAAACATCTGGAGAAGACTTGAGAAGACTGCCCCCCAAGCAGAGGGGGCCAGGGCCTCCTATGGGAGGGGGCCTTTAGAATTCACCCCTTTCCCCAATCTTCTAATACCTCTAAACCCCAGAGGTCATAAATCTGATCCTTTCACCTTCTCTCCACCTTGGTCTTGCGCCTCCTTCTGTTCCCCGCCACCGCCCCACCCCACTTCTTTGCCAGTTGGAATAAATTATGCAGAGGTATTCAACTTGCATAATATATTCTGAGCACATACATTCTGGACTCGAAGGAGAAGATTTCTATATTGCTGGCCAAAGATTAGCAGTGTTCGGGTTGATGGTCTTGCTAGCAAAGTCCGTTCTCGTTGGACTGGTGGCCGTTCTTCTCTGGATCACCTCCCACCTTTGTTTTTATGCCGTCTGCTGACATTTTAGGCTCCCTTTTCCTGGGACTCTGAGAAGTCCCCCTGCCGCCCCCATCTTTGTGCTGCAGAGACCCTTGTTTCTTGCAAGTGCCTGAAAGAACAGCCTCGTTTGCTCCGCAGTGGGAGCCAGCAGGCCAGTGGGAAGAGGGGGCTGGAAAAGGAGACATCCAGAACTCCTGGCCCTTGGAAACATCTGCAGAGCTTCTGGAAGTGCAGGGGGTTGCTTCTTCCTCAAATGTCCCTTTCTCTTCTTCTCCTGTTCTGCAGGTGCAGATCCTGAACAAGAAAATTGACCTTTCTAAAGTGTCTTCAAAGTGTGGTTCAAAGACAAACATCAAGCATAAGCCAGGTGAGAGGCAGATGGAGCAAATGGCCACCAAGGGAGGTGTGCTGTGTTCCAGGCTTTGCCTTTGCTAGCCTAGGGTGGAGTAAATGGAGGCTGTGGGAGAGGCACTGAAGAACAGTGCTGGCCCTTCAGCCCAGAATCCTGCTCCCCACATTGGCCACAGATAAGCTTCTGGAAAACTCCTAAGCAGGACATGATTCCTGTCATGCTCTTCCCCAACTCTTGTCTCCCAAGACCTGTTTGGAAGCAGACCTCAGTGAGCAAAGGAGAGTCCATGAGACATCCACTCTGGGAATAAGGTCTGCAGCTCCCTCTGTCATCACTAGAGTCTCAGGATGTAGGCATACGATCTCTCAGAAGGGCTGGTTGAACCTGCAAAGGAATTTATGGCTGACCTTGAGGAAGGTATGAGAGAGCCATCAAGGAAGGACTTGGAGAAGTGACTACACAGTCCTGCGAAAGACTTTCTAGAGTTCATTACAGCAGTACAGCAAATGGTGTCTGTTTTTGAACCTGGCCTGTCCTAGAAGAGGACATCGGTGATGGCAGACATCTCCAGGAAGTGCCTACCGTTCACAGCCAATCTCTGGCATCAGACCCAATGAATATATGACTCAGACTTTGGGAGATGAACCCTCAAGCTAAAACCAACCACATAACAACACCATTGTTGGGGAAGAAGCTGTTCAGAGAGGCAGTCTGAGCAGATAAGAAGAAACCCTTGCCCCCACCCCTGAATGGTCTTTTCATAACAAAGGCGCAAGCCCCTGCCCCTTTTGAGACAGAAAGCAGACAGAGTAGACCTAGGGGATGCCAGTCTCTGGGGCCCCAAGCCTTGGCAACCAAAGTGCCATCCAGTAGGTAGAGGAGGCAAGAATCAAGGTGAAAGGATGATGCCATAACTGCTCATACGGACAACTTGCCAAAATAGTTGATCCTGGAAAGAGTTCACAAGAATGAGTTAGAACTCACAAGCAGATCAAAAAGCAGAGTTTTGCCATCTCTGCTTCCAAAAATAAACATCTCTGCATGAAGGAGGCATTGTAGACGCGGGCATAACTGAGCACATATTCAAGAAAATCTCTTCTCTGTTTTTATGGCGGTAAAGAAAAATGGAGATTGGAGAAGTATCCTGAACCGTGAGCCTTGAAATAAATTCATTGGGCACTGAAGTGGAAGTCAAAATGGATGCCATCCTGCTGGATGACTTTCAGTTTTTGGTGGATTTGACATATAAGAGCAATCTGTTTGAATTCAGAGCATGCCTTTTCTGTCTGGGTACATCACCCAGTGTATTCATCAAAGTAAGGGTGCTCTTGTGGGCTACTGAACCCAGTGGGTCCACGTTTATACCTATCTAGATGAACTGGAGCACCTTCTATGGGGGAAGCTATGATTCATCCCAGCCTAATGCATCATAGTCTTCAGGAACAGAGTCTTGCGGAGAATCTAGCCAAGACCACTCTGGCATAACCCAAGCAGGTTCCATGCTTGAGGTTACCATCAACAGAAAAGAAAGACCTGATTTTGTCCCACAAGCACACTCTGGAGCCACGGAAGAAAGACAGAAGATCAACCCTTGTGAAGATGACAAAGTTGCAGGCCATGAACATCATAACATGGGATTCACTTCCCTGGGTCCTTCTCTCTTGCAGATTCTTACAGTGGCTGCTTTGCTTGTTACAGGACAAGAAAGTAGGTAGTCCAACCCTTGCATGGCGCTCAGCTGATCAGAAATCAGAAGACCAGGAGCACCAACTTGTGGGAAGCCCAAAAGTCAAGGCTTGGAACATGGTTCCATCAGAGATCAATGCTACTAATCAGCAGCTGGAACAAAAGGTGGGACAACTGGTCCTGAGATTACTGTGAGGGGAATGAGGACCACTGATTGGGGCAGACAACATTACAACTAAAGTCTAAAGGCAGGTCCAGATGTTAGGGCCTTCAGAAGAAATCCATCTATCTAAGGAATACTTCTGTCCAAATCGATGGTATACCTATATGGAGTGGCTGGCCTTCGTGAGTCCTCCTGGAGAATTTCATACACTCTCAGCAAGATGGGGATTGGTCCCCTGTTGATCTGTTCATGATTGCGGGCGGCAGAGAGAGGAAGCGCTGCTTCATCCAGTTAAGGAAAAGCAAAGAAGAGGGTGGCATCATGGCTGAAGGAACGACTTCCCCACCTTTTTGCAGCGCTATCCAAGGTGGCGTGCAGGGGAAGCATGTTGAGGCATGAGTGATTCTAGCTGATCCTTTCCAGACCAGGAGGCCCTGGTCCTCCACCCTGATGGAACTGAGAAAAGAACATCCATGGCAGCACTGCACCCAGACCCAGAGTAACTGCAATGGTGCCCTTGAAAACTGGACAGAGTGATCTCTGAGGATGGGTTTTAGGTCTATCAGTTGACTTGGCACAAGTCAAACTTGTGGCACTGGCAACAGGAGTCTCTGAATTACTGGGTTTCCCCCAGGGGGAATGGAGAGGACACTGTCTTTGAATCAGGTTATATGGACAGGTAGCTGCTTTGGGTTCTGTCCTCCAGAATGAGCAGAGGACCTGCTTTCAGCCCACCGTCACCTGCGCTGGTCCCTTAGTGGCGCACTCCTCTCACCATCCGTGATTCACCATTTTCCTACGGGAGACTCGTCATAAATCTTTAAAGATTTGCCCTCCACGTTGCCAGTCTCTTGCCGCAATAATCTCCAGATCAGGGACTTTCATGCAGGATGCACAGATGGTGAACTCTGTTTTCTCTCTGTGTTGAATCCTTAAATTATACCAAATTTAAACGCACTTCCCTGGTGGGGTTAACGGCCTAAAATTATACCAGCAAGTCAAGTCCCCACAGTGCTTAGAACAGTGGTTCTTAAATGGTTTGACCCAATTACCCCTTTTCCAGGTCTCAAATAATGTCATTACTCCCCGCTGCCCAAGAACAGACTGTTGTTTTATACAAGTATCTCAGCAGCGGCGCTCCCAAACTGGATCCTCGACTCACAAACAAGCAGTTACAAATTGCTCCATTATGCCCAGGATATGTCCACATTACACCCTTGGGGGTAATTTCCCCCAGTTTAAGAACCACTGGCTTAGAAGGATCACAAGGCGGACATGGGCTCAGAAATGCCTGTTGGAGAAGACTGGATGAGGTCATTTGCTTATGCATATTTTAAAGAAATGTTTGCATTATTTATTTAGGGGTCCACAGGCATACTCTCAATAAGGCATAATCTAAATAAAGACCTTTGAATGGATTGAACGTTGATGGAGATCATCCTTGGGCCCCAGGGAGAGGAAGCAAAAGTTGGGATGGGACTTTGATCCAGCCTTTCCCCATGGACCACTCACCCATCATCCCTGCCCAGCAAGGCTATTTGGGTTGGTGATAACAAGGCTGTTTACCAAGTTGGGGAGGCTTTGTTCACTCTCTTAGGGTCCCTGCCAAGAATTATTTTTCTGTCCTTTCTTTCAGGGGGAGGAGACATCAAGATCGAGAACCAGAAGTTGAACTTCAAGGAGAAGGCCCAGGCTAAGGTGGGCTCTCTGGACAATGTCGGGCATGTGCCAGCTGGGGGCACTGTGAAGGTATGCCTGGGGCCATGCCAGTTGAGATACCTCTCTGCTTCCTCACTAGGCAAAGCCACCATTAATGAGCCACCGCTACCTTCCTGTGCATGTTCTTGGTGCCCCGTAAAGGAAGGTGTTGAATCAAATTGAGAACATCCAAGTGGAAACGGCCCTTAAGGGCTCCCTAAATATGCAGGACTCTCCAGGGTGCTGGGTAACGGGCAGCAGTGCAGGGGGAACCAAGGAGTGAGATGCGTAGGTGCATGTTCCCCCACCACCAGTTCTCCCCTCTGCTTCACATCCCTCCTTCGTCTTGGTAGCAGTGATGTGAGCAAAGGGGAGAGGGAGCTGGCGGGCAGCCTTAAACACGCAGAGCTGGTCCAGTTCCACTTGGCATGTCATTGGCCCGTGGAGAGTGTGAGCAGGATCCATTCCCCACCCAAGCACCCACTCCTCCTTCCCACAAGAGAAGGGCACCTCCGCAACATCACATAAGGCCGTCTTCAGTCCTCAGTGACCGGTGCAAAGGCCAACCAGGTTCCTCAGCAGCAGAGAGTTGCATCTCGAAAAGACCCTCTCCCTCTTGCGGGCGTCCTCAGCTGGTCCCAGAGTTGCGTCCAGTCCCAGAGTTGTGTCCTAGGTAGCTTTCGCTCACCCTGTGGGCCTGCCTTGAGCTGTCCACAACAGAGACATCAGTGGAAATCGCTGGTCAGCCTTCCGCTTCTCCCACACCTCTGGATGAGTCTTGGGGGTGCAGGGCAGGCTCCACCCCAGCGTCCTTCTCAACAATCTCCTGTGTCTGTTGCCCCTCCACCGCTGTTTCCCAAACGCCTTGTTCCCCATGTCTTCACTTGTGCAGCCAATCCAGCCCCCAGGCCAAAGGGTGGAGTGTTGGGGCTGGGGTGGGGGGCATAGAGGAGGTGATGAGCTGAGCGGAGGGGGCGGGCCTGGCCCAGATTGAAGCAAATGGATTTGCCCTTGTTGGTCTCCCCCTCCTCAAGACAAAGCCCACCCAGAACGGTTGAGCTCGGCCCTCTCCGCCCAGCTGGGTCCCTCCATCGAGAAGCCGGGGGCTCTCCCCACCAGGCCGTCCTCCCTCATCCCATCCCCTTCCCCTCTGTGTAGTGACCCTTCATTGTCCTCCCCACCCCACTGTTTCCTTCTAGACTGAGGGGGGCGAGGAGGCAGCCCCCGAGAACGGAGCTGCTGCGACAGTGCCCCCGTCGGGCAGCAGTGCCCCGCAGGAGAATGGCGCGGGGCCGACCGTGCCCCCTCAGGGCAATGGCGACCAAAGGGAAATTCAGTGCTTCAACACTCACATACAAGAGACAAGTAAGTGCCCAGGGAATCTGGCAGCCCTAGAGGAGGCAGGGGGTCTGGGAGAGGCGCTGCCGTAGAGCCGCCCCCCTCCCCATTCTTTTTTTCAGGGCTGGGGGGAGCCTGAGAATGTTTGCTTGTGGGTTTTTGCCTCTGCTGATGTCGTTAATGCAACCAATTGCCTTTTATTTTCCAGGCATTTAACGATGACATTCTGGTATCGCCTTCCGCCCCTTCTCTCTCCCCCCTTTCCCGCCCCCACTGTGTCGCTGCAGATTGAATCCCACAAGCTGACCTTCCGTGAGAACGCCAAGGCCCGCACGGACCACGGAGCGGATTTCGCGGTCTGCGCCGGCAGCCCCCCCGCCTCGCCTCCGCTGAGCGCCTCCATCAGCGAGAGCCCGGGCACCGCCACCGCCGCCTCCTTGCCCCTGCCGCTGCCCTGGCGGGCTCCCCTCGCGGAAGAGACCTCTGCCGTGCTCTCTCGGCCAGGCTTGTGACTCTCTTTCCTGCCCTGCGCCCCCCACCCCCTGATCCGCCCCCCTGAGCCTGCCTCCCTTAACCCCACCCAGAGCCCGATGGGGAGCCTGGAAGGGGCTGCCGAGCTGCC